ATATCATTGTCCATTATCACTCAGCTCATTCTTTCTATATAAAACGAGCGGTTGTTAGGAATATGTTCCGCACTGCTAGGAAGGTCTGCAGTGGAAAGGATGAGCAAAAAGAGTCGCTCAAAATGGCACGCGATATAGCTTGGTCGAATGGCTACTACAATTTCCCAACTTCACGTAGAGCTTCTTATGGCGATGTGATCCACAGACATGGTAGTACCTCGATTGAAGGAAAAATTCCTTTTGTACTACCATTTATTTCTTATGAGGTCAGTGCCTCCATTAGAAAGTGCATAAAAAATCGGGTCTGGAAAATTTGGTTGCCATTGTAAATGTACCACCCTTCAATCTAAAGGAGGTCTGGTCTGGTTCGAAACAGGCTACACGATCGCCTATGTACAGCCTCGAACTGTGTGGTCTGTCTAGCTGGAAGGGAAGGTGATTGTAACATGTCTGGGGTGGTCTACAAAATTACTTGCCGTGATTGTGGTGATGAGTATATTGGCGAGACGGCAAGATCACTCCACGTGAGGGTTGAGGAGCACTTGGATGGTATGTCACGATTGAAAGAGTCTACTGCCTTAGGGAGTTACCGAATTCGAAAGCATAGGCGGTTTCGAAGTTATCGTGGAGGTCGTAGCACAGGAGTCGGAATTGTGCGCGCGCAAAACCATCGAGGCTTTTGGATACAAGTCACTGATCCAATATGAATCGTAGGGAAGAATGTCCCGCAATCACGCGGGAGCTGCGGCCTTATATAAGATTGGCCTTCCCGCAGTGACCTTCAATGAGGATTTACCCCAGCTGACACTGGTCGGTTGTACCATCACTTGCTGGGTGGTTTCGAAGATTCCATGAAGCTATGGTGAGTGCCTCTCCTTTTGATCACTTGCGTGCCCTGGGGTCTCGAACTTCGGTGAGTTGGTGGAAACGTTTGGTCGGATAGTCACAGATTGTTATGATCCTTTCAGGCCCTGCAGAAGGCGATATCGCCGAAACGTCAGCCTAATAAAGCTTGTTTACAAACCTCGTGAAGTGTTCAGAAAAACAAACTCAACAATACAAAGCAGTCGGTTCCGTGCTCACCTGCTCACCATTCCGACACTGGTGTTCTTCCCTTTTTTGTGTGCGACGATTCAAAAGTTGGATTCCACGTAGAATGCTGTCAGTGTTACTCAACGTGTTTTGAACCATACTCGGGCAGAAGGGAATCCAAAGTTCCGTACTCTGTCAACGGAAGAGCGTTAGGGATGCCGTTGCTTACGCCAGGAAATCGAAGATCGGGCAGGTCGGTCATGTTGTGGTGACCGTCTTAGCAAAGCGGTTACCCTGGATCCCTTGAGTCGTCAAGAGAACACCAGGACGGCCGCAAGCCCGAGGGTCAGACTTATTTACCGAAGCTCTGAACGAAAGGAATGCCATGCCTCGTGTCCCTGAAGCAAGGGCAATCCCCTGGACCACTCTCGCTCGCGACATGGACGTATTGATACGTTATTGGCGCCCGTTTAAATGCACAGTCACGTTAAAAAAAGGTTACTGAGTTCTTACCCCATTAACACTCAGTGGCCCCCATGGGTGGTAGAAAGGACCTCTCGCTCCCACAATCGCGACGCTTAGGGCATAGTGGAAGACCTGTTGCTGCCGTAATTGGCTTTTCCGCCCCTCGATCGATGTCACGTCATACGAGTGCTGAGACAATGCAGAACTATTCGTTCTAGGACCAATACACAATCAGCTGATCGCCGAGTGATGAGGTGATGTTCATCTCCAATTCTTTTTTCCTCTGTTATTCTTTTTGCTGCCGCGATCCCTTATTTAATTTCCTACCCCAAGAGGCTGAAAAAGGTGAGCTACTTTTGCCGATACTGGGGTTTTTTGTTTACTTATGCTTATAAGTGAATGAATTTTTGCTTACCGTAGTCTGTTGTTCGCACCAGGGTGCGCAATGAGATGCATTGTATAGTTCGTCCAAACGCCCCACTCTGCTTCATTTTTCTGGTCTCATTCTCGTCCAGCCCCCGTTTCAACGGTTTTTCGAAGCCTTTTTTACATAACCGATTCTCCACCTTCATCGCACTATTTTCGATCTTGTTTTCCATTTTTCATCATAATCTGGATTACCCAAAATTATCGTGAACTGTGCCTCTAAGGAAATCGGTGATCAGCGGAACGGATGGTGTTTCAGGAGAACTATTTGGCTTATACAATGACTCGTGGTGACCACCTAAATTTCAAACCAGTGCAGCTATCCTTCCGGACGAGTCTGGGAATAATTAACCGACCCGGGAAGGACAACGGCCTGGTTGGCATGTACGAGAATAAATTCATGATGCGGTCCCTTTACCGTAATGAAACATTTCAATAAGAGGAAGAACTCAATTCAAATAAGTGGCATCTAGTTCAAGAAACTGTAGGATCGTCGTTCATTGCTGAATACTGCTCTCACTGTACGATATATGACAGCTTTCCCGACGATGTTGCTGATCTACAATTGTTTGAATTGTCTATTTCTATTCTTATTTCTATTATTTCTCTGTTTTAATATATTCACTATTTCCCCTTTTCAATCTTCAAACACCAGCTTCTCAGGCTCAACGTACTCTTCTGCGAGCTTATGATGACTACGGAAACATTCGAAAAGTTTTTAGGTTGTTGAATATTTAGGATGCTGAATTGCAGAAGTTGCGTACAAGCTAGGTGTACGTGAACGCTCGACATCTTTGCAAGCCATGAAAAATATTCGAAAGAAGGGGAAGTGGCCGCACCGAATTTTTTCCGAATTTTCGTGGATTGTATGAATCCAGAAAAACTGGTCATCACTGAGTTTCCTTGAGTCAGCTCAACTAGTTGAATGACGATTGTTTGCGACAGAGTCCAACAGCGGCGAACGTGAACTAGTGAATGCATTCCGACGGGAGTCCTCTATCTTTAAGAAATCTGCGAAGGGAAGTTTTTGGCAATCGGGCAGGTATTTTTCATTCGTACCATAGTCAAGTATTCTGGTCTATGGTTTTTCAGATAGCAAAGAAAATCTGGTCAAAGGTGAGCTGATTTTTATATTATATAGTTCGAAATGTTTTCNCTTATTCCCTTCTGACTATGGGGAAGGCTAACGCTGTTTTGTTGTGTTGTAAATTGAGGATCAGTCTGCGGACGAGGGACTTCTGAATTTATATGATGTCAATTAATTCTCAAAAACTGTCAGCTTCACCATCATCATCAAGGTAGCTCGAGTTCGAGGTCAAGCAAAATGAGAGGGACAAGAGTTTTACATTTTCTCGTAGACAAAAGGACGTGACTATTCCCTCAATATATTAGTGTGTGCATTAATTTCTGCTGTTTTTTTGCGTGCAAAAACATATTTATTACAAAATTGAAACCTAATGTACATCAATCAATGTATTGCCCATCGTTAGCTACAGCTTCTTGCCATCTTTCTGGTATTTTGTTGACTTGGCGTCTAAAAAAGTCTTCATTTTTTGAGGCAATCCAGGTATCCACCTGTTTTCGCACTTCTTCGGCATTCCGGAAGCGTGTATCCAAACTGACTTGCATGGACCGGAATAGGTGATAATCAGAAAGAGCAAGATCCGGAGAGTATGCGGGCTGAACAAGCTGATCCCATCCAACAACTGCAATTTTTATTAAGGACATTCTTCGCAACATGGGGTCTGGCATGTTCGTGGTGGAACAGCGCCTCATGATATTTTCTTGCGATTATGCCCGCTTCTAGGTGAGAGCATCCTACAAACTGTCAAGTTGGTGTTCGTAGCGGTCAGCAGTAACAGTTTCGTTCGGGCTCAGCAGCTCATAGTACGCAATACCCTTTTGATCCCACCACCAAATGCACACACAGCATTACTTTTTGGCAATGGACATTCCGCTTTCGTTGCAAACTCTCGAGTGAAGAGAAACCATCTTAGCAGGTTCGTTCAAATGGAACTTGTCCTCCATGAGTATCGAAAAGCATCCGGTGGGCTTCAATGCCAGTTTTCTTGAAATCAGAAGAAGAAGGTCCCACGGGAAAACAGTTCATCACGTTCCATGACCAATCAGTCTGAAAGCAACGGGATTTTGGGGCAAAACTGACCTGTCCGCCCTTAAGTAGGTAGCCAATACCCTACCTTACAGAATATGACAGGTTTCACCAGCAAACCCCAACATGGTTCGCGCAACGACCCTCCCAATTCGGCGGCGGAAATTAATGCACACACCTAATATGTATGTTCTGAAGAGAGAAATCCTGATTGCAAATGCCAAACAAGGCTTTCCCACAGCCAACAAACACTGTTAACACGAAGTCTACTGACCGTACACTACTTCAGCTTTTTGTTATGCACCATGACCTTTACATAAATTCACATCCTTTTGAATTGCCAAGAAATTTTTTGCTCAATAAAATGACTTTATTATGACTCGTGAAAACCATGTGATTTCTAAGGTTTATTGTTTTTAAAAAAATGGAGCAGAAAGTGAGTTATAAAAGCTGGCTATCTTTGAACGTACAACACTTCTGTTTCTGATTTTCTAGGATTTCGCAGTTTGTCTGCTTAACATTCAGTTCTGCTGCGTACAAACTAAACATGTAGTAGTGGTTCCTCCTCCACTTGTTCCACCTGAAAGTGTTATCATATAAATAGGTGCACAGGAACCTATGCATGTATCTGGGAGTTTAAAAATTGAATGGGTCTTCAAACACTCAATGATCACTTCTTTTTCTTGGGATTAAGCACAATTTTGGAGGAGGTGCAACGAAAATAGGTCCCGGTACTGCGGGTGAAACAAATCAATTCCCGTTCCAGTTTGCCAAACTTTTCGTCCCCCCTATTCAGTTGTTTGATTGATGTTTTGTGATAAATGTTTGATCAGGAGTGCCGTAAAAGCAATTCCCTGAAACGTTATTGTGCATAGACCAGACGCATGAACATATATCAAAATTCGTGCGTGATTCTAAGTAGAACCCAAAAGAGTAACATTTCATGCGGAATATTAGGGCTAGAAAAGATGGCAGACTCGCCCAGAATCCATGCCAAATGACGGTCCGTACATCTTGGACTTCTAATTCATGCCCTATTGATTGCAAAACATCAATTGTTTTGATATAATTCTGATTGACCCTTTTTCTGGTTAGCAACTCTATGCGGCCTACAAGGAAGTTCGAGATTACCAATCGGAAACGAACTCACTTGAAGAGAACCAGCCTGTGCCAAACACCATCCACGGCCTCAATACTTCATAGCGGAAACGAGCAACTGGTACCGGAACGAACTGCTCTACTGAAACGGGTTGCAGTACTGGAACTGGCACTGCCAGTGGCTGTATACTTGGAACTGGCACTGCTACTGGCTGTATACTTGGAACTGGCACTGATACTGGCTGTGGACTTGGAGCTGGTGCTGGTGCTGGTGCTGGCATGTATCTGTGGTAACTAGAACATCCGCATCCGTAACCGTACGGCCCATAACCTCGGCTGGAGCCTTGCCCAGAACCTCCTTGACCGTAACCTTGACCAGAACTTCCTTGACTGTAACTTTGGGAGGAACCTTGACTATAACTTGTCTGGTAACTTTCACCGCCTGCGCAGTTTCCAGGAACCACTTGTAACAAAAGAAGAACGCAGCATAACCAGATTCGCATTCTGTAAAACACTAGAGTTTTCGGTGTTTATTAAACTGAAGATCAGCGGCCAGCGTTTGTTGATAGATGAAATTCTGTGAAGTGACATATTTGACACATTTATCAAAAGACACTATCCTAATGACTTTTGTTTGAGGCAGTTAGATCTAGTTTCTGAGAGCGACAAAAAACCGAAACCACTTTCACCAGTTAGGGTCGAACCTTCTTGCTTAAGAAACAAGTGAAAATCGAATTCTAGGAATTCGCTATACTCAACAAATCTACAATTTTTTCTGCCACTCAAACGATCCCATACGATGCCGGACATTTATGTTTCAAGTAACTATCTGAGCTCATCGTACTAACAAGCATAAGAGGTATTACAGCTGAAATTGGTTTTTCGCATTCGCAGGGCGTAAGGCGGTGCTGGAGAGGAAATTTATGTTGGCTTTCACGGTTGTATCATGATTTCAAATGGTAGGCTGCCTACTCAGGAAAACATAGTAACTCACATAACAAGAATGCTCACATAGGTGAAAGTAAGTATCATATGCTTTCTGGAAAGGCGAAAGTTAATTGGCGATTTTGAGGGCTGTACAGACCGTTGAGCATTTTGAAGAAACCCTTTTCAAGAAATTCGTGGCAAAAAAACCAGCATCACTTCTGACATCAGCCTATGTTCCAGGGAGAAACACACTTTAGAAGCCTTGATTTTCATGTCGTTCTACCAGAAAAAATTGCTTCAAGTCTAATCAAGCTTTCTGGCACGAATACGGCATTTTTATGAGGATAACCCCATGTTTAAAAAAATGTTTCCCCTGGCAACAGTTTGAGCCACTGTTGTGGATTGATATAGATCAATCGGTATTGATAAACAACGATGTACTGGCTGATTGAACTGTATTCTTATCATAACAAAGGACAAAGGAGGTTGAAAATTTTCGTGATTACTGGATATATAATGAGGTATTCGTAGTAAGTTTGGCAGCCTGCCGACTGATGCCGAGCACTAATCGTTCAACCAAATATCATTGAGTAACGTCTCTTCAGCTATAAAATGTTGGGAGTTTCAACGAATAGAAGAAGAGCGACAGTAATCCGCTATGGTACCATCGAACCCATTTATCATTAGTGGGAGCTCAAAGCCCATATTATCACAATTCGGTAGACTTGCGAAGAGATTCGTGTGTGCTTTAGCAACAGTCCTCAATTACTTCCAAGCATTCGTCTACAGAAAATAGCTGTCCCGAAGCAACCTTCCCATCTTGATCTGCAGCACATGGTTCACTCGATTTCTCCTGAAACACTTCTACTTCTGAGAGATATTATGTATTATGTTTTGCCCTACGCAACCCCCCATTCCGATGCATGTTCCACTCTGGTTTGATTTGCAAGACAAGGTGAACACTCCAACACAATGCCAACAACAAATGAATATGGGTACGAACATTAGTAAGGCAGGGAGAGTCGAGTGGATAAAAGTGTAGACTCATGTTTGCACTCGGAAAAAATGCGAGTTCAACTTCTGCCGAAGCGAAATCCATGCGCTGCAAAAGTTGCAACATTGTTTCAGTACCAACGTCAGGCTCCTCGGCCCAGGCTGCTGTGGCGGAAGCAAAGAATATGGAAGTGGACGCTTTGTATGAGAAACTCGATAGCCAGAAAGTAGAGAAGTTTGTTTCGGGTGGGCTATTCAGGACATCGGGGTAGTGATGTCGACCAAGAACAGCGAGGGTGCAATCTTGAGGAAGCTTGGCGAGCTCAGGCCTACTTCGACAGCCTCCTAAACGGAGGATGTCCTGTGAAAACAGCCCCCAAGTAGTGCCGATAGCTATTGCACTTTGGACAGAGGATGAGGTGCGTAGGGCCATGGGAAGTTGAAGGCTGGAAAAGCATCTGTTCCGGATGGTGATCTCATCGAGGCATGTAAGGCGCCCGGAGGGCACGAAATTAAGTGGCTCATCCGATTCCTGATCCTGAAGACTGTGATGGAAGAATCCCGATGCCCAGATGCCTAGAGAAGCAGCACTGTCGTTCAAATATTTCAAGTAGAAAGGGGACGCAATGGAGTGATCCAACTACCGGAGATCAAGCTGACTGCACGCCGATGAAGCTGTACCAGCGGCTGGTCAACTTTAGATTGAAGGAACTCGTTAAGATCTACACGAGCAGTCCGACTTCATGTTAGAAAGGTCTACAACGATGCTATCTTCCTGGCCAGACAAATGATGCAGAAGTATCAAGAATACCGTAGACCCCACTGCCTAGCTTCCCTCTATCTGGAGGAGGCTTCCGATCTTTTTCCGCGACAAGACTTGTAGGGAGCGCTCCGAGAACGAAACGTTCAAGAACACTTCATCTTCCTGCTCAAAGACATGTACAATGGGCACACGATAGCAATACGCACTCCACACGACCTGAACAAAGCAATAGGCGGCACGGTTGGGGTACATCAAGGATCTGCTCCGAGTCATTCTCTTCCTTCTCACACTAGATGTCTTCAAAAGCAAACTTCTGACTGAATCACTCAAGACTTACCCAAGTTGATGACATCGCTCCAACAGCGGAGCTAAGAAGAACTTCAAGACAAGCTACAGGTATGACAGAAAATGTTCTAGATAATAGGCTTTGGCTGAAAGTGAAGAAGACCAAGTTTTGAGTGAACGTAGAAGACCAATTTCCTCAGCTTCGAGTAGTGCACGGAGTCGATTGTAAAGGTAGGGGAAGATGTAGCCATCGAAAAGTACAAGACTTCCGATACTTGGGAAGCGACCTAGCCACTTATGGTAGCGTAAACCAGGTTCTGAAGGCGCGAATGAATGCGGCGTGGATGGAGTGGAGGGAGCCTAGTGGTCTCCTCAGTGATCAACGGTGCTCCAACGGATGATTAAAGGAAAAGTGTGCAGGGTAGTGGTGGAGCCCACGACGATCTACGGCAGCGAGTGCTGGCCTGTAGGTAGAAATTATGAAAGACAGCTTCACTACCTGTTTTGACTTGATGTTTTGTTAACTGCTGTTAATTCGCCGCAGTACGCGATCCGAAAGTCTCACAAGGTTGGCGATTTGTGGACAAAACTTCAGCCTCGGACGGGACTTGAACCCGTACTTGTCCTTTCCGGGGACCGTGCTCTTATCCCTTACACTACCGAGGCCCCGCTTGCCCTCGCCTTCTTGATGGCTTATATGCCATAGCTTATCAGCACTCACACGTACAGCACTCAGCTTAGCTTCACTACCCTGAATTGAGGACGCTCAGATCGGCCTTCGTTGGTCGCGACTGGATTAGAAGATGAGTATGAAAAGTAGCATGCGGTCTTTTCGTATGATGTCGACTGATTTCCAATTCTTTTGCCATAGTTCGCTGAATTATTCTTTACAGCGCGACTCAATGCAGTGCTGTAGTGGATCTTTATGAAGTTAAAGAATATGACATCCTTTACAAAATGGCTGAGATGATTTTAGGATGCCTCCATCGCCAACGCTTGATTGCCTCCTTGATTCCTTTCCAATGTTTTTAAGTCTTGTTAGGCTTGAAGAAGTTAAACTGCCTGAGGGAATACTACTCAATAAAAGGATACACTCAATGCTTTTACTCGATGCATCCACAGGTCTTAAGGGAATACTTCTCAAGAAAAGGATACACTAAATGCTTTCACTCGATGCATCCAGTTCACTGAACTTTATCGTCTTGCATAACAAGAAAACCTGCTTGTCGTTATCCTCTCGCTTCCTTTCCGAGGTTGAGTTTGCTGCTCATCCATGAGGCTCTCACATCAGAAACAATAATGCAGATGATGTAGTGGCAGCTTCAAAAATTCAATCGGGCACTGCCCAACTTCGCATTTCCCTTTTTCATTGTAGGTACACGCGAAAGCGTTTTTTATGTTTTAAGCTACTCTATTGGCAGAAAACCACCAAGGATCTTCATGTTGGTCTTTCTACAACAGCGGAATCCATTAAATCTGGAATATTTAAAAAAAAATGATTATTCATTTTGGGAGAACAGGTTCTTAAGAGGTCTTAGGCGAATTACGCGGTTGAAAAGGCTTAACCAAGTTCTACCAATATCCTTCAAGTTATGCGTAGAATGCTCATTGCATCCGGTAAGCGAAGTATGAGAAGATGAAGGATATAGAATTATGACGCTATCGAAGAATAGGAATAGACCACTCTGTAATCGAGTAGACTCTTCAGCAAAGCAATAAATACAGCTAACGGTAAATGAGAATTCGTCGAACCACTCCCATATTTGTTTTTCCATCAGAAAATACATTATTACGTAGCCATCGGTTCAACTCTCGAAGTGTTTGGCGTAAAATTAATCACAGTTTTCTATTTCTTATATTTTCTGAGATTTGCTTTGGAAACAGGTTATGTATGACATATGAGACATTGGTTGGTGTTACTCATCTTTCATATCGTTCCACTAATCGAGCCTTTTACAATTTTTTGTTAAAATAGCATCAAGCGAAATAGCGAGATGGTGCGAATGCAAATTTCCGAAGTCAATCAAGGGGCTCTAATTAACAACCTACGCGTTCGGTTTGTTTGAACCTTGGCACGTCATAATATGTTTTATACTACTTTGTCATACAGATTTGGTGTTTGGTGCGTCGTGTTTATGAGAAACCCCTCTATTTAGTCGACATTTTGATCGTATCCTTCACTTCAAGGACCTGAAAGTGTTAAAAACCTCGAATGGTGAAGGCTAGTGCAGTGCAAGAATTGCCAGAACCTCGATTGCACAAAGATCTCAACACAGTCAACACAGTCATCAACCTTCTGCAGTTCCATCACCATTGACGTCTCCCTCGATACAAGAGCAATAAGATTCCAATGAGTTACTATTGATGACAGTCATATATCAATTATCCCGAAGACGTCAGAAGGGCTTCATTGTAACGAGTCCACTTTGTTACAGATATGCGCTTATTTTGGTTTTTCCACTTCTTCCCCAGATTTGTAACTTTTTCATAATTTTCCAACACTAACCCCTTCATCGTAGGCTTTCAACAAAAAGG